AAGAGAAGAGAAGAGAAGAGGAGAGATATGGAGAGACACATCGATTGGTTGCCTCCTGAATGTGCCCCTGAATGGCCGGGAATTGAGCCTACAACCGAGATACATGCCCTTGACCCAGGACTCTTCAGCCCCAGGGCTGATGCTCTATCCACTGTGGCAAACTGGCTAGGGCCCAGTGTATTCTTTATTTCAGCTATTGTAGCCTTCATTTCTGACTGTTTTTTTTAAAAAAGCATTTCTATGTCCTTTTTCATGCTGTTAAGCATCCTTATAACCATTACTTTGCACTCTATATCTGATAAATTGCTTGCCTCCATTTTATTTAGCTCTTTTTCTAGAGATTTATTTTGTTCTTTTATTTGGGTCTGTTTCTTTGGTTCCCTTTCCCCCCCACCCCCCATGTTGGCTGCCTCTTTGTGTTTGTTTCTCTGTATTAGATCTGCTATGACTCCACATCTTCGTGGGGTTGTCTCATGTAGTAGGTGCCCCGTGTGGTCCAGTGGTGCAGTCTCCTTGAGCATCTGAGCTGGGTGCTCCAGGAGTGCCCCTTTCGTTGGTTATGTGTGCCCTTCTGTTGTGATGGGGTCTTGATTGCATGGGATCAACCCTAAAGGTGGCTGAATGTGAGGCTCAACCCTGACCATGGCATGCGAGCTGCTTTGCAGGTGCTGAGCACATTTGCCTCAGCAGGTGCCTGTCAGGATTCTCCCTTTGGATATGTTGCTTGTGAGGCTTATTGGATCTTGCTCTTCTGTTGTCTGAAGCTGGCCCCTGGGTGTGTTGATTCTGGGCCTCTTGAGAGAGACTCTGGTGAGAGCAACATAAGAACTGCCTATGACTGGCACTCGGCAACCTGTTAGGATCCACTGTTTGTGGCTGCCTCTATTGGACCTCAGTGTGTGTACTAGTAAGAAGGACTAAGATGCACAACAAGAATGGCTTTTACAAGCCCTGGGCCCAGGCAGGTCAGCAAAAGTCCTAAAGTACCCCAAGATCTGCCCCTGCCTCTCTCCACCTGCTGGCTGCCTGTAAGGCTCAATCATTGAAAGAGCCTCTGGCTGTACTCCTCAGCAGGGAGTAAGGTCCGTAGGGTGGGGTGAGAGGGAGTCCAGAGGGTCAGGCTAGTGCTTTCCCCCAGGCTGATGCCTCATGGAGGGGAGTGCTCCACCCAAGAAAAATTGTGTCTTCAGTATGAGAGAATGACTCAGCACAGGTAGCTGTCCCTTCAGCTCCCTCATTAGAGCCACAAACCCCAGACGGTCTTCATGCTGCCCTAGTGTGCCCCGCCGTCCCTCCACCAGAGCCCAGGGTTAATGGCTGTGAATAAAATTTTTTATGTTGGCCCTTTAAGAGGTGCCTGAGTCCACGGTGGACAGAAACCTCACTGCTTTATACAGCCAGGTGTGATGTGGGAGCCTCTTCCCAGCCCTGGTGCTCTGGGTTGGGGAGCCCAGCTTGAAATTTAGACCCCAGCTTCTCAGGTAGAACCTCCCACAGCTGAGATAGCCCTCTGGAGCCACAACCACCTCCCGGGGGGTCCCTGTGGTGTTTCCACCCTTCCTACCAGTCTTCAATGTTCTTCTGTAAGTCCTTGGTTAAGGACTTCTCTTCAGCTAGTCTTCAGTTGGTTATTCAGGTTGATTGTTCTATATTTTAGTTGTCATTCCACTTTGGTCCTGGGAGGAGGTGAGTGTAGCGGCCATCTACTCTGCCACCATCTTGGATCTGCATTTCTTTTAATGGACAAATGGTTAGAATAAAAAGCAAAAGGTTTTAAAGCAATTATTGTAAGTCAGTTTTATAGTTTGAAAATAAGATGTAAAGAGTTTGGGGAAAGGTAACTGAAAATAAAAACTAAACCATTAAAACAAACCTTTCTAAAAATTTGCAATAGTCATTTTTTTCTTCTGTGTTTAGAATATGCTGCCCACATTTGAGTTGGTTCTTTGCAGTTGAGAAATAACCTCTATTATAAATTTCTCATTGAACACACACACACACACACACACACACACACACACTCACTCACTCTTTATTTTAGAAGTGATATAAGCACATTATGGAGATGTTGTTAATTAGGGGGAAAAGATCCTTTAAGTTTTATTACCATGATAAGAGCACTTTTTGTGTGTGAGATATTTCTTATAGAATTTTTCTAAACTAGTTACTTAAAAAAATAGTGCATAAACAAATTTTATGATTTTTTAAAAAAAATTATTATATAGTATCATAAGCATTTTTACATGTTGTAGCATAAATTTCACAACCAACATTATAAATGGCTATTTATTCTGTTTAGTGGATGCAGATATATACAATTTACTTAAACATGGCCCAATTTTCTAAATTTTCACTGTCTTAAATACTACTCTAGTTGTTTATGTGAATATAGCCTCCCTCCCATCATGCATATTTTACGGCATTTTCCTAGAATGGATTCTCAGAATGTGACTGTTTGAATTCACCAAGCACGGTCACACGGAGCTGCTGGAGCACCAGCAGGCACCATGGTGTCTCTAATAAATAACCTGTATTGATTTCTCAATTTGTGACTTATCTTGGTTTATTTGCTCTTAGAATTTGATTTATGGCTCCAGGGGACACTTTTAAAAAACCATTTACCCATCAGCTGAGACACTCTAATTATTACCCAAAAGGTCAAGATGCAGCAGACCGGAGACAGGCATCTCAGACATCTAATCCCTGAATCTCCACTGCTCTCTTCAGGAGTGTAACCAGATTCTGGCAAAGTGACAGCAGGAAAGGAACCTGGAGAAGCTGATCTGTATCCTTGGTCTTCAATAGTCTCCCCAGTGCTTGTTAAAAAAATCCTCACCTGAGGATACTCCTTTCCATTGCCTTTTCAGAGAGAGTAGAGGAAAGGGAGGGAGGGAGGGAGGGAGAGAGAGAGAGAGAGAGAGAGAGAGAGAGAGAGAAACATTGATGTGAAAGAGCCACATTGACTGGTTGCCTTCCACCTGCATCCCGACCAGGGGCGGGGAGCGAACCCGAAACCCAGGTACATGCCTTTGACTGGATATTGAACCCTCAACCCTTTGGTGTGCAGGCCGATGCTCTAACTACTGAGCACACTGGCCAGGGCTCCCCTGTGTTTTTTCTCAGACAGGTAGGTGCTGCTTCAGATGGTAGCTGAGTTCTTGTGTCAGGGTTAGACTGTTCAAAGCCAAGTTAGGAAAAATGGCCAGCACGAGAGAGGGGTTGTGGCCTGGGGAAGAGGATAGCTGTGGTTTCTAAATCAAATCTCTCTGTACATAGTAGGAAAATACATCTTGTGGCCTAACGAGTTGTTGAAAAGAGACCACAGGCCCCAAATGGAGTTACTGGTGGTAAGCCCCACATCAGTAAATTAAGACAGTATATAACCTAACAGCAGTTCCAGGCTCTCCCAGGAATGTGACCTGTAACCAGTCAATCTGAAATTACCTGGTCAGCACTAGCAGGGTAACCTGCCTGATTAGATCTCCTTTCTTTCCCCACAGGAAGGCGAGCTTATCTGAAAGTACCCACTCTGCTAGAAACTTTCTCTTCCTGCCTCCTTCTGCCTGTAAAATTCTTTAATTTTATAAAGTTCTTTGGACTCCTTTCTATATGCTGGACGGGATGCTGCCCAATTCATAAATTGTTAAATAAAGATTTTAAATGTACTCAGTTGTTTTTTTTAACCCTCACCCAAGGATATTTTTCCATTGATTTTTAGAGAGAGTGGAAGGGAGAGCGAGAGACACACAGAGAGAAACATCAATGTGAGAGAGACAAATCAATTGGTTGCCTCCTGCACACACCAAGCCGGAACCCAGGACCCTTCCGTCTGTGGGCTGATGCTCTATCCACTGAGCCAAACCAGGTAGGGCTTAAATTTTGTTTTTTTAACAAAGCTCAGCTGCTGACGTTTTCACTCTGTTTTCTGTCCCACAGACATGTACAGAAGGGCATTTGTGTTCCTTAAAGAGTCAAATGATTTATTTGTGACCCTGATCACACAGCTAAACAAGCCATACAAGGCCTTCACTGTGTCTGAGAATTCACACTGACCCGACCTTGACTGCAGCCTCTTCTCTTATTCCACAAAGACAAGTTAATGAGATCCTCCCCTTCAAGGGAGAGCCTGGAGCACACAGTGTACCTGCAGGTGGAGCTGACGTTTGTTTCAAGCCTCCTGCACGTTCTGTTGGATCACAGGACTCTGTGTGACCTGGGAGTCCGCCTCAGGGATCGCAGAGCTCTGGGCGATGGGAAGGAAGCCCATGGTGAGGAGGGTCACAAGGAAGGGATACTCTCTGGGGACAGGGACAAACATCATCCTGGGCAGGAGCAGGATTCATTTGCTGGGGGCCTTGGCGAAACCTGTCTTTGGTGGGAGACATGAGAGAGGTGAACATGTGAGACTTTGTGCTGTCGACAGATGAGACTGGCACTATCTCTGCTGGTGGGACTCTAACCGGACAAACAACAGGTCCGTGCTGCCTGGTACTTGCTCCAATGAAGTAGAGACAAGGTTGAATCATTAGGAGCATTTAAAAACTTCCAATATTGCCCGCAGTACGGGAGAGCAGCAGGTCATCCATAAAAACCGGCTCTGCGCCCCGCCATAAACCGGCTGCTGATATAGGGTAGATTACATGAGAAAGTAGGCAGAAGGGCAAATTGGTAGTTTACAATATGCAAAGGGACTAGGGGTCTTCAAAGGGCTTAATGATATGCAAGGGCTGGGGTTACATGGGGAAGCAGCCACAGGGTATGCCAAATGGGCAGTTAACAGGCAAGCAGAGGGCTGGGGATCTTCAAAGGGCTGGCGATTCTGGTTCCTACAGCAAAGTTGTTCATCTTTCCATGAAATGGGGAGGGGAGCTGCACTTCCAGGTGAGCTCCCAGGTCCCGAGTGCGGCTGCCAGCCAGGTGAGAATGTGCCTTCTTTAATCAGAATAAGACAAGCACGGTTAACAGAGCAGGATTCATATTTCTTACAATTATCCTGGTTCCCCAACATTCTTTTTCTGCCCCTATCAGGACCTTCAGTCCTAACAGCCTGGGATGGTGGAAGCTGAGTAAGGTGGCAGGTGGTGAAGTGGCCACCAAGCTCCCGCTGCGGCCTTGAAGCCCTGCGGTAAGCCCTCAAGTTGCCTCTTGGGAATGACACCTTACATTTTTGTTGTTGTTTCTGGTTCTGTGTTTTCTTGTCCTACATACAACTCATGCCCTGGGCTGGTGGCTGCTGTAGTTTCCTCTTCCTTCTCTACTCTTTTTATTAGCATAAAAACAGTGTAGAGCAGAGGGTCTTATTCATGGCTGCACAACAGAATTACCAGGCCACACTCCAGGTCAATTAAATCTGTGTGTTTTTTTTGAGGGTGGAACCCAAGTGTCAATGTATTTTAAAATTTTCTAAGTGATTCCAATGTTAAGCCAAGGTTGAGAGCCACTGAATTCTCAGTGTCTGTTTAAGAGCAAATGAGCCTAGGATTTTTTTTTCTCCTATAGGACCGCATGTGTTTAATTGTAATCCTGCTAATGTTCTCATTCCCTTTAGTAGGCACATCCACCCATTTCATTGTGCTTTATTGAATTATATAATGACTATAGAAGTAGAATTTTTCCAGCATTCTGCTCCCACCAGGATGTAGTGATTATACATTAAAATTATCTTCAGCTCTGGCCAGTGTGGCTCAGCTGGTTGGGTATCATCCCATACATCAAAGGGTTGCTGGTTGGATTCCCAGTCAGGGCACATGCTCAGGTTTCTGGTTCAATCCCTGGTGGGGAGCATGCAGGAGATAGGCGGTTTATGTTTCACTCTCATATCAATGTTTCTCTCTCTCTCTCTCTCCCCCTTCCTCTTTTTCTAAAAAATTTTAAAATCTTTAAAAATTATATTCAATCTTTTAATCCAATGTGTTGATACCACAGTTCTTTTTATTTCTTTTTGTCTCTATTTTTTTTCTTCTCACACACAATTTTTATAGTTCACTTCAAGCTCCTGCCACAATTTCATTCAATAAAAATCTTGCCTATAGCTGTATTTAGCTTGTTAGTTTCAATAACACAAAACTACATTTCTGAATTTTCCTGTCTTATTTTCATTATTCATTTTCCTCTTTAAATTGTGAACATTTACAGATTGTATTTAGAGTGAGAACATGGCTCAATTGTTCAGTGAAAACAGGTTGCAATGTAAGTTTGAAGTCACTGAAAAAAGCAGGGTCATCAGGGAAATTCAGAAAAGCAGTGGTTAGTGAAGGGTGTAGCAGACATGAAATTGTCCCTCAAGAACTAAACAGAAAAAGCAACAAAAGTATCCCTTGTCATAATAAAGAAACTGGCACTAACCAGCAGTTTCAAATTAAAATATTTAGTATGCCCAGCTGGTGTGGCTCAGTGGTTGAGCATCAATCTATAAACCAAGAGTTCAGGGTTCAATTCCTGGACAGGGCACAGGCCGGGGTTTTGGGCTCGATCCTCAGTAGGGGGTGTGCACGAGGCAGCTGATCAATGATTTTCTTTCATCATTGATGTTTCTCTCTCTTTCCCCATCTCTGAAATAAAAAATGAAATGTTAAAAAATAAAATATTTAGTATGTTCTTGAAAGCCTATTTATTTATTTAAAAAATATTTTATTGATTTTTTTACAGAGCGGAAGGGAGAAGGCTAGAGAATTAGAAACATCGATGAGAGAGAATCATCGATTAGCTGCCTCCTGCACTGGGAATGTGCCCACAACCAAGGTACATGCCCTTGACCGGAATCGAACCTGGGACCTTTCAGTCTGCAGGCTGATGCTCTATCCACTGAGCCAAACCGGTTAGGGCTTGAAAGCCTATTTAAATATAGATTTTATTATGTCCAAATGTGAATAAGTATAAAACGTTTATTTTTACATGACAACATCTACATACTTAGCATAAAGTGGAGGATGACAGAAATGTGTCAGGATATTCCTTGGCTCTTGCATGGGGCACCCCTTGAGTTAGAAGAGAAGTAGGCTGAGGCCATCTGAGGAGAATAAGCCAGAACCTATGGGCTTTGAGAAAAGTCACATCCTCCTGGCTAGATCCAAGTTTCACTTGGAGCTATTTTTTGTGATCTCGGAATTTAGTAATATTTTTCTACAATTAACAGTATGGGCTTAGTTGTGTTATAGGGCATTGAGGGAAGGATTTAATTTATGTCCATTTTTGAGGTTCAGTCAAAAGGCAGCGAGAGGAATCTCTGGAACTGAAAGGGGGCAGCAATAGAATTTGGGGAACCAGCTAGTATTGTAAGAAATATGAATCATGCCCTGTGAACCATGATTGTTTTATTCTGATTAAAGAAGGCACATTCCACCCTGGCTGGAGCTGACCTGGAGAGGCAACCCTTCCTCCCCATTTGGAGCTGCCTGTCATCATGGAAAGATGAACCACTAGTTTGCTGCAGAAACCAGAGTGGCCAGCCCTTTGAAGGTCCCCAGCCCTTTTTCATACCCGCAGGCCATTGCAGACCTCCAGCCTGCTTACCTGTTCACTGCCCACCTGGCACTGCCTTTGGCTATTTCCCCATGTAACCCCAGCCCTTGCATATTACTCGGCCCTTTGCAGACCCCTAGTCCTTTTGCAAGTCTGTAAACTGCCCTTTTGCCTAGTTTCCTTTGTATTGTTTTTCTATATAAGCAGCTGGTTTATGGTGGGCTGCACAGCAGATTTTTGTGGCTAACCTGCTGCTCTCCCATCCTGCCGGCAATATTGGCATAAACGCTCATATATGAATCCATCCTGTCTCTGCTTCACTGGCTGGAGTAGTGACAGGCAGCCCGGACCCATTGTTTGTCCGGTTACAAAACCACTGGGCAATGATGGTAGGGAACTTCTTGGGGATGTGGATTTCAGGGAACCAGAGTTGGAGCTACCAAATCCACGTATCCTTTCATAGAAAGAGATTTTTCTGGTAGTCTTTTACTATAAGCATTATAGACTGGCGGAAGAACTCGATGTGTCATGGCAGAAATACTAGGAAGTAGCAACCAAAGAATGGAAGATTGCTTTTTGGAGGTGCTGGGCAATTATTTATTTCTTAATTGATTCTTTCTTCCCCTTTGCTAAGGCAAAACCTAGTATTTTTAAAATATATATATTTTTATTGATTTCAGAGAGGAAGGGAGAGGGAGAGAGAGATAGAAACACCAATGATGAGAGAGAATTGTTGATCAGCTGCCTCCTGCACACCCCACACAGGGGATCGAGCCCATAACCCATGCATGTGCCCTGACTGGGAATCGAACCGTGACCTCTTGGTTCATAGGTCAATGCTCAACCACTGAGCCACGCCGGCCGGGCAAAAGTAGTCTTTTAGTGTTTGGTGAGATAGACAGCTGATGTCATCTAGGTCAGAGTGAAACAAGGTATTTAGTGAATAAATAAATGAGTAAATGAACGAATGAAGATGACATAGCCTCAGTTCTTATAGCTTGCAAACAACTGTATTCCAATGAGATGTGTTGTAATAGGTTAGTGAATAATAAGCTACCAGGGTAAAAACTAGCAAAGTGACTTCTTTTTTCTTTGAAACAAGGGAAGGGAAGATTGTGGATAGAATACAGGTCGAGAAAGTATTCAAGGGTGGTGAGATTTTGAATGGAACTTAAGGACAGATACGTTTCCTCCTGGTGGGAAATTTCCGAGAAAATATTATAATGGGTAGGACATGGCTTTGTAAAATAAGAGGTTTGATATTTTGTGATCAATTTATAAGTAGAAGTCTTGAGGCTCTGAGGTATAATTTTTAGATCATTTTACTTTATCTAATTGTCACAGAGGATGACTCAAAAGAAAAGATTATGTGACAGCTTTATAATTTTTTACTGGAGGGTTAGAAGATAAAAAACCATACATACTCTGTGAATCTTAAAGCTTTATATGTAAATCTTAGGGGATCCTGGTTGTCAGAAAAAAAATCTCGCTTTTGTATTTGTGGCTTATAAATAGTCTGGGATAGATAGTTGAGTCTAGGGAAATAAAAACCAGTAATCTATAATAATAAAAGCATAATATACTAATTAGACCAGATGTCCTTCCGGTCATCCTTCCAGATGACCTTCTGGACAAAGCCAGGGCTGTGAGGGTTGAGGTAGAGGCGGCCGCCAAGGCAGAGGCCCCAGGCCGCAGTGGCGGTGGGGGCTGAGCCCCTTGCATGAATTTCATGCATCGGGCCTCTAGTCTACTATAAAATTAGAGCAAGTTATAGCTTTCCTATATAGCAGGGACCATAAAATAGAATTAGGACATGTCTTATAAAACAGACACAGAACCAGGAGGAGTTAATTTGCCCAAGGACTTTTTGCCCTACATAGGAGAGATGGTATTTGTTTGTGGCATCTGGTAAAAAACTAGAGATGGGAGAACAGTTTAGTGTGTATCTTGGATTATTTTGTTGTTGGGCCCCATGGATCCATTCTTAAGTATTGTGGAGATTTAGCACGTTGG